GGATTGACAATGGAAGCTTTAAGAGCAGGAAGGTCAGGGTAGAAGTGTGATGGAGAAGCAGTGGAAAAGGGAAAAGCTTTTGGAGAATTTTAAACTTGAGGGAGCTAGGACATCTTCATTGAGGCACAGCCTGCTAAACTGTGCTGGTGCTCAGAGAAGAAGAGGAAGAAAGAACCAGATAAATGGGAGCCTCTAATGCCTTATCTCGACTGTGTAGTAAATAATTAGCAAGAGGACAATGAGAATGGCAAATTTTGGGAAGTGATGGTGAGAATTCCAAGCGGAATTATCTGAGATCTCAAACACGAGGACACTGGTGAGGACACTAGGGAGAGGAGAAAAGGAGGCATCAGCATCAGAATCACAAGAGGAAGGAAGCTGAGGGAAAATGTAGGTGTTTTTCTTATTTTCTCTCAATTGATAGTTATGTTAATAAAAGGATCTTCTTTAAAGAATTCTGTATATAAGGGGATAAAATAGACAATTTTTCAAAAATTAGATCTACACAAAGCAATCTATAAACCTCATAGACTCTTGTTATATTTGCCCATAATTTTTTAGTGCTATTGGGATTTATGGCAGTTTTTTTTTTTTTAATAGATGGTTCAAATTTTAGCACGAAACTGCAAATATGATCCAATTTTAACTTTGCATCCATTTATTATATTCAATCTATTACTTTTCTGAACAAAGTATTTGTGAAAATACTAGAATTAAAGACACAGTGCAACTGCAATGGTAAAAGCTCTAGGAACAAACCTTGAGCTATAATTGGTTCATAATTTGGAGGTGGCGCAATCCAATTTCCATGAGGATCCCTCATATGTGTTCTATTAGATGCAAAATGTTGGAGGAAAATTGGAGCATGAATCACCCGTAAAATTCTGTGAAATCAAAATACAGCATTTATTTAGCATTTCAATATGAAAGGAATTCTTAAATGAAGGATTTTTAATTCTCAATTCTAAAAGTTGGAAAAGACCAACCTTGAATCGAGGGGCCATTGATAAATACAATGCTGGGCTAACCAAACTTTATCAAACATAATAATGGTCGATGAGCTAGTATATACAAACAATATATAATATTTCTAAGAAAATGATAAACATATATTGAGAAGAAAATAAAAAATAAAGCAAATAATTATACACTAGCAATTGATTAATGTAGTACATTAAAAATGTGACTCTTTACAAATATATTTTACTATTTAACATATATTCATATTCATTGCTTACAATCATGCCCTTTACTTATCAAATCATCAATGTAGATTTTTACTTAAGTCTTGCACTAAGCTAGCTATATTTAGGAAGATAAATGATCATATTAGCTTATATGATCATAATAAGCTATTATATTCTTTATTTCTATTTAAATGTTCTATTATAATTAGTAATCCTACTATGTGAGCTACTTATCAGATATTATAACTATGGTTTCAAGTAAAGGAAAGAAGCAAGTGAGGTAGTAGTTAGGTGCCCAGTCTTGCCCTGTACCATAGCTTTTAGTTTTACAATTTTGAGATGTATTATAGAAGATGTGTATGATATATATTAAAGATTTTTGGTATCTATAAATGTATATGTTAAAACTAGAGAATTTGAGAGGGAAAAGCTTGTTTTTATTCATTTCACAATCTTCCCTTATAGATCATACATCCAAATGCGGAAATAATAAGTTGCAGTTTTAATTAACACAAATAGAGAATATAA